CCCTGTGCCCATCTGTTTGTGTTTGGAACCAAATGGGGTTTCAGGGGAGAAAAAAAAAAAAAAAAAGGCAAAAAAAGAAAGTTGAGGTTTGTTTTTTGAGTGCTTTTCCTTTGTTCAATACCGCTGCCTGTCCTGTCAGCATTGTGTTCTCCCAGCTGGAGAAGATCTGAATTTCTGTGACAAATCTCTTTGGCCTCCTTTCCTGCAGTGCCAAGAGAAGTCAAACCAAGCTCTCACAGTTGCCCCAGCACCCAGCCAGCCCCACTGTGAAGCAGAGGATTGCTGGTTTGGAGTTAAAGCTCCCTGATCTCTGCTCCAGCTCTGGGGGAGCAGATGCCGTGAGGTTCATTCAGACCCTGGGTGAGGCTCTGGGTTCATTCCTGTTTGCTCAGAGCTGAAGTTCCCAAAACCAGAACAGCGGGGTTGGAGCTGAACCACTGACACCCAGCCCCCTTCTCTGGGAAAGGGACTGACATCACAGAGCCATGGAACTGTTAAGGCTGGAAAAGACCTCTTAGATCAAGTTCAGCCATCAACACAGCATCACTCCCATGTTCCCTGCTCAAACGTGTCCCCAGGTGCCACATCCACACATTTTTTGAACACTTCCAGGGATGGTGACTCCACCATTTCCCTGGGCACCCTGTGCCAGGGCTGGGCAACCTTTCCCATGAGGAAAATTTCCCTCATATCCAATCTAAACCTCCCCTGGTGCAGCTTGAGGCCATTTCCTTCTGTCATTTGTTACTTGGGAGAAGAGTCTGACCCCTACCTGGCCACAGCCTCCTTTCAGATCCCTCTGCCCCTTCAAGGAGAAGGGGAAACTGAGGCAGTCCAGGGGCTGGGCCCATCTCAAAGGCACAGAGAGAAACTAGCTTTGCTCAGGGCCATTTCCCACCCCATGCCTGCTGGTGGAATCAGCCCATCCCACCTTTGCACCAGGGACACCTGGCCCCACCTGGCCAACCACATCCAGCTTCCCCCTCTCCATCCCTTCCTCCACGTCTCTCTGAGCCCATAAATGCTCCTCGGTCCCCTTCCACCCCTGGGAGATGATTTGACAAGGAGAAAAAGAGAGAAACTGGTGGGTTTTGTGCAGATTTTTTCCCCCCTAACCTTGCTTACAGCCTGCGTGCTGGCTCTGAAAGCCCCTGGCTGTCTTTTGTGATTTCAACAAATCACCAGCACTTAAGCAAAGTGGGCAGAAAATTACAGGTTGTATTGCAAGTGAATGGAGAGGGAGAGCACGCTGGGGCCGAAAACCAGAGGTTTGCTGGTATAATAGAGAAAGCAGGGACTGGCAGGCTGAGGGAGCCTGCAAAGCCATCAGGTATTAGTTAAATGCTTGGCGGGGTTCACGCTGCGAGGCATAATTGCAGTTCCTGAGCAGCAGCCATTTGATTGTCTCTATTATGTCCCCTCTGAAATGATTTGGGAGATGTTTCGCTCGGAGCTGTCAAGGTTAAGTCAAGGAAAATGCGCTCCCTCTGACATGAGGCTCCCGGGAGGCAGAAACCCTCGGCAGAATCCTCCACAGGGAGGGTGGGATGCCTCTGCTTTTGAGGCTCTTTCCTCTTGCTTTCCCTGCCCGAGGTTCCTCCTTGTCTTTGCTCCTTGTGTTTTTTCTGCAGCGGGGTCAGAGCTGCCCCGGGATGGGGTTGTTTGGATTGTGTGCCTGGTGTGTGGAGGGATCCGTGCCGTCACTCCGTCCCTCTGCGTCTGGTGTCCCCTCCTTGTCACTTCTGAGCTCCTTGGTTGGGTTTGGAGGGCATGAAATGAGCTGGGGAGGGGTTGAGGGAGGAGAAATCCCCATTGTGGGTGAGCCTAACCCCTCATTGTCCAACAGAGCATCCCCCAGCAGTGGGAGACATCAATCCATCTCTCCCATGGTTAGTCCTGCCACTTCCAGGGTCCTGTGTGCCCCAGGAGGAGCAGGACAAGCCCAGGAACAAACCCTGTCCTGTGGGGACACGATGCAGAGGCCGGGGTGGAAATGTTCCCATCCCCAGCCCAGCCCAGAGCGCCGGGAAGGACACGATGGAAAAACAACATCAAACCAAAACTGGGTTATTTGGATCTTAAAACTTGGGGTGGGGGAAAAGGGATTTTGAAGCACAAAGAAAATACCTCACCCACAGCTGATATGGGTGGGAGTCAGAGCCGTGCCTCCCGCTGCCCCTCGTCCCTGCTGCCTGCGGGGACGTGGGGACAGCCACCGCCAGCCTGCCTGGGAAAGCAGCGCCCAGGGGATGGGGAATGGGAAAAAGATCCTCCGTTGAGGGGTTGATGGCTGCCGTAAATAGATCTGAGCAGCGTCCCCATCGATCGCTGCTGTGCGGAGCTGTAATTAGATTGAGCTGGGGGAGAGGGGTGTTGGGCTGCGTCAGCAGAAAGGGAAATTAATAAATAAACAAACGAGCACAGGAAATGTGGGATGTGGCCGCCGGCAGCAGCGCAGACCAAAAATAACCCAAAATAGCAGGGAGCTCAGGGCTGAGGAGCGGGATGTCACCTGCCTGAACAATGGCACTGGTTTTACTGCAGGAGCCCAGTTTTACAGCAAGGCCCTGGTGGTTTGTGTTTGCCTCGGAGCTCAGAGTTATTAATGGGAGACTGGGTTGTAATAATCACTCCTATAAAAGGAAAGGGAGGTTGGAAAGCTGAAAGCCTGAATCTCGGGCTGGGTGTCCAGCACTGTGGTGGGAATGGGTGCCAGCAGACAGGAGAGGCTGGAATGGCAGGGTGACAGCTGGGTCATCCCCAGGTCCCGTGGGGACATGGGAGGCATTGCAAGTGCCATCCTGGAGGGCAAAAGCCCCGTGGGTGGAGTGTGAGGAGCCCACCTTGGACACAGGAGGAGCTGAGCATGCCGTGGGTGCCGGGAGGATGCGGGGAGGGTGGGCAAGGGGCACAAGTGTGGGGGGAATTTTTCTGTTTGTTGTTTGGCTTGGGGGGACTTTGGGTTTGTTTTTTAAAAAAATTCATGTCTGGGGGAAAAAAAGTCAAATTTTCTATAAAGGCTTTTTTTGTTTGTTCTTTTTGCAAGCATCTGATGGTCATAGGGTAGGTTTCCACATTCTCTGCTGGCTGTTTGAGTAAGGTACCCCTGGGACAGGATCCCCTGGCATCACTCACTGTCCCTCTGTCCCTAAGGATGGTGGTGAGCAGCCAAACCCGCCTGGGGGGGAGAAGGGGAGGGGAAGATTCTCCACTGGCTTTAGCAGGGGTGGCTGATTTGGACTGAGAGTGGTTGGTGGTGTCCAGCTCGGTGCCTCCCGTCCCCTGTGCAGTGGGAGCAGAGCTGGTGGCTCCCAGCACCACGTGGGGACAGCGCCAGGACAGAGCCCAGCAGCTGGGACACACAGCTAAATCTGCTGGATAAATTGTCTGCTCCAGTGAGCTCCAGATTTCCCCAGCTCTAGGGGAAGGGGTGGATATCATCCTTCCTCTCAGGTCGAGGTGATGTGAAGAGGGCTTGTAGTGGAGGCAGCTGAGGAACTACAGGAGGAGGAGATTGCTTGTTTCCAGTGGGGAAGAAATTACTCCAAACACCCTCCCACTACTCCTGGGCTATGCACCACCTCCCCTTTGGCTGTGGAGGTGTTTGGAGAGCAGGAAGGGGTTTAGCCCAAGGTCCAGTGCTGTCCCATCCCTGCAGCATCTCAGCCTTGGCTCCAGCCCCTCCGAGCTCTGTGCTTGGAGCTTGGAACTTGCTTTGATCCCTGCAGCTCCCGCAGAGCCTGAGAGGAGCAAGGTGGAATCTGCCACCCAGACAGCAAATGACTCAAGGGAGCCATGCCTTCCCTGCAAAATCTTTCAGAAGACCTGAACCAAGAAACCCCAAAAGCTGAAAACCACTGCTGCCCCGGGAAAGAGCAGGACTTCCTTTGGGAAGTCTTCAGCCCACGGTTTCCTCTTTCTTCTCTGAGCTTCCCAGGAGGAAATGCTTTGTCCCCAGCCATGCAGGGTCAGATCCATGCTCTGCCTCGCCCAGGGCATCTCAGGTTCCTGTAGCTCCATGTCTGGTTGAGTCTTGAGCAGCCAAATCCCTGAGCAGACAGATCAAACCTTGACAGCTTCAGGGTCGGCCCTGCTTTGAGCTGGATCAGCCACCTCCACCACTTTGTGGTTTTCCAGGAAAACATAGCAAAGGTCCCCTTGTCCCATCTCTTCCACCAACAGTGTGCTTGATATCCCCACAATTAAAATTCATATATTTGTTTACTTTACTGACTTCCCCCTCTGCCCTCATGCAGAGTCAGGGGGGCTTTCCTGGCTTCCCCACATGACAGCCCCTCTGTGCCGACCTTTGGCTCAAGCCAAACCTGTAGGGAAGGCTTTTAATTCATTGCTGACAAATGTGCCAGAGGATCCGGTAGCAAAGGCACACAGGGGACACAGAATTTCCTGGGACCTCCAGTGACTCAGGCAGGAAAAGCTCTCCCCAGGGCAGGTGGCTCTGTGATCAGCCCTTCCAAGCTGATGCTGTGAGATTAAGGCTGCAGAGTGACCAATCCTTAATGTCCCTGTCCCCAGCTCTTCCCTGCATTTCTGAGCTGGCAGCTGGATGTGGTGGCCAAGAGACACCGGTTCCCTGAGTCCTCCAGGATGATCCGCAGAGGTGATGAGGAGAGTGAGACCATGCTAAGGGAGGCCGATGAATAACCCCCAAAATTTAGGGATGAATCCCAATGGCCAGTCTCCGGGAGCAGAGCAGTCCAGGGCTTTCCTCAGTCTTTAGTCCCAGGGCCAGCTGGAGATGCTGAGATTTTCTGGGCTTCCCCCAGGCTTTTGTCACACTGGTGTCACAAGAGGCCGTTGTCCCTTCCCAGCAGGTTCTCAGGAGGGACAGGGAGGAGAGGAGGGAGTGGAGGGACACGAGCCAGCGAGTTTCCCAGAGGGAAGGGCCTGGATTTTGGGAGGCAGCCGGGCAACCTGCAAGAGGGCCAGGGTGGGGAGCCCCAATTAACAGCCCTGTTCTCTCTTTTCAACGTCTCCAGCTTGCAAACGCAAGGAGCAGGAGCAGCAGAAGGACCGGAGCCTGCAGCCCAAGAAGCAGCGCCTGGTCTTCACGGACCTGCAGCGCCGCACCCTGATCGCCATCTTCAAGGAGAACAAGCGCCCGTCCAAGGAGATGCAGATGACCATCTCCCAGCAGCTGGGCCTGGAGCTCAACACCGTCAGCAACTTCTTCATGAATGCCCGCCGGCGGTGCATGAACCGCTGGCAGGAGGAGCCAGGTGCCAACCCTGGGGTCCCCTCGTCGTCTACAAGCACTTTCTCCAAAGCATGATGTCCCCCAGCCCTCCCTGCCCCTTCCTGGATGTCCCCCTCATGACAAAGCCAACCCCAGACTCACACGCATGGCCTGACCAGGGTGGGTGCTTTTGGGGTGGGTCCATCAGCCTCCCAAGCCCTCAGCTGGGTGTCACCCATGGACGTGGGCCTCAGGCCACCTCCTGCGGCCACCTCCTGCTGCCCCCTCCTGCTGCCACCTCCTGCTGCCCCCTCCTGCTGCCACCTCCTGCTGCCCCCTCCTGCTGCCACCTCCTGCTGCCACGTCCTGCTGCCACGTCCTGCCAGCTCGTGGAGCAGGGACAGGGTTTGTGACCAGGTCACCTCTGTCCCCGGGAGGGCTCAGAGGAAACCCTGGGGAGCAAGGGGTGGCGTGGGATGGAGGGAGGAGCAAGGCTGTGTTTGGAAGGAAACATCCCTGGTCATTGGGGATCACAGAGCCTTGTCTTCCCCTGCCCATGAAGGTTTTTGGGGAGAGGGGCCTGTTCTGACCTCTGAACCAGCCTTGATCTCAGTCACAGCCATCCTTACGGCTCCCACAGGGGAGGGGTAGAGGTGGGGGTGACACAAGAACTGTTGTCACAGGCTGGGCTCTGGCACAGCCCCGCTGGACCAGGGCAAGACCTGCCACGGTTCAAAGGGGACTGAGCAAGGAAAGCGCTCCCAGTGTGCCTGGAGGGCTCCTGGGCCCTGCCAGGTCTCTGGGTGCTGGAGGTTTTCCCCTGCTGAGGTGCAGTGGGTTCCCCAAGGCAGCCAGACCCTCTGTGCCAGCACCACATGGCACTTCCACCTCTGGAGGGGTTTGGAAACCTGGCTGAGGACATTCCTGTCCCCTCCCTTTTTCCTCTGATCCCTCCAGGCACTCTGAGGAGCACCCACACCCCAAGGCCCCTCATGCACTCACAGCCCCCGACCCACGAGAGCACCCCGCTCCCAGATCCCTCCCAGAGAAGCTCCGCGGTGAAGGAGTCCCCTCCTGCCTCCATGGACCCGAGCACCCCATCCCAAGGGGACCCCAGCTGCTCCGCGTCGCCGGGCGCCCCAGCAGGTCAAAGAAGCACATTTTAGCTACAGAAATCGGGTATTTAAAAATAACAATTGTTCGAAAGGAGACGGGAGGAGAGACTTGGAGCGAAGGATCTGATCTTTCCTGGTGACTGGCTCCACCTTTAACCTCTGGATTTCTGGTTCACTTTTTGGCTGAGGAATGGACACAGACAAAGCAGATTTGTTGGCTTTGCATCTCGCCCCATCCACCCCTCGACACACACTCTTGCCCCCTCCCATCACCCTCTTCATCTCTGTTACCAAAGAAATTACGAAACCAAAAACGCAACAACAGCAACAACAAAAAAATTCCCTCCTGGGAACCAACGTCGGTGCACGGTGGGAAAAGAAAAATCCGAGGGATCTGGTGGCAAAATCCAGCCCTGGGTGTGAGAAGGGGGAAAACTCCCCGAAAAAATTGAAAGGGAAAAAAAAACCAACACCCCCCCCCCCCCCCCAAAAAAAGGAATAACAACAGAAACCACAACCAAACAAGCTCAACAAAGACCGGCAACTTATCAAAAAGACGCCAGATTTTTTTTTTTTTTGTGCCAATTAACAACCTGCCTTAAACGCGAATTTCTGGAGCAATGGTACTTAGCTTCAAAAGGGATCGTTTCCTCCGAGCTCTCCATGGTGACTTGTGCCATATAAAAAAGCAATCACGAGGCCAAACCCTTACAATCAACCCTCTCCCAGCCCCCCGAGGGCTCCTTGCCAGCCCAGGGTGTCCTCGGGAGGAGCTGGAGGTGCCGCTGGGGATGGGGAAGGGCTGGGAGAGGCTTGGGGATGAAGGGGGAGGCAAGGTCCCCCTCTTCCCCCACCACTTGGGGAAAAAGAAAACCAACCACCAACCAAAAAAAACAAACCAAAACGGGACACTCTTGAATTTATGCGGGTAAAAAGTACCATCTGTGTTCTAGTGCTATGGTTTCTTCGATTCACTTTACTTTGAGAGTGATCAGTTGTGTCACAGGAAGGCACCTTGTGGAAAAGAAGGAAAAAAAAAAAAAAAGGAAAGAAAAGGGTATGTGTTCAGAAAAAGAAAAAAAAATCCAAAACCAAAAAAAAAAAAAAAAGAGCACCCCAAAAAATAGAGAAAAGAAAGGACAAAAGAATGAAGAGAGAAAGAAAAAACCCCTGCACACGAAGCCCTGAGCAGGCAGGGTCAGAAGACGTCTTGAACCAAAGAGCTGCTGGGGTAGGTGGGCGGTGGAGGGGCTGGGGGGTGTCAGGCTGGACACGGTCACACCAAACTGAACCAATGCATTGCTGGAGAGAGGGCGGGAGAGAGGGATGGAGAGAGGGAAGAGCGGGAAGGGGCAGGTGCCACAGCGTATTTTGCCAACCAGAACCCAAAACCTAACGGGAATCTCATCCCCCCAGGACCCCGCTCCCCGCCACTGATTTTTTCCCCTAATGTTGTTTCTTCGTCTTGTCGTGACGTGGTGACGATGGTGGTGGATTCCTGAACCCCATCGAGTAGTATTCAAGGGCTGAAAAGCCAGGAAGGGGGCCTTGGTTTGGGAAGTGAAAAACACAACAGGAAAAAAAAAAAAAAAAAAAAAGCGAAAAAAAAGAAAAAGAAAAAAAAAGAAAAAAAAAGAAAAGAAAAGGATAAAAAAAAGAGTAAATGCCACAGGCCCTCAAGGATGCAAAGACATTTCTAGTGAGAACCCGAGACTAAAGGCTACCTCACTTGAGTTTTCAATTTTTGTGATTTGAAAATCACGTCTGATACCAAAGATTTTGTTGCCTTGTCTGGTCTGTGCTGGAAACGCCACTTTCCCTGCTCCCCATGGCCGGGCCAGCCCAGAGCCCCCCAGCCCGAGCCAGAGCCCCCGGCCAGCCCAGCCCCAGCCCCAGCCCCAGCCCTGTCGAGTCCCCAGAGAGCGAGGGAGGAGGCGAGCGAGCGACTCCGGGATGGCAGCGTGGTAGATGAGTGCCTTTTTCTTGTACCAAAGGTGTGTGGCCATTTCTTCGCTCCTCTGCTTTGATCCTAAAGACTCAGCGTTACCTCAGCTCTCCACAGGGACAGATCCCCACGGCTCTCGCAGTCTCTGGGTGTTGGGATGAAGGAAAGAAAACCCAACCCTTGTCCCAGTTGAAAACATGGCCCTCACTGAGGGAAAGGTGCTGGTTCCCCAGCATGTCCCCCCTCTCAGATGTCCCTGTGTCCCCCCACCTGGCTCCCAGGGTCCCTCCATGCAGCCCCTCGTGCCCCAGGAGCACAGATCTGCTGTCCAGGGACACTGCTCCCAAGGAAAGGCTTTGCTCCGTGTCCTCCTCCAGCCTTTCAGTGCTGGACCCTGCAAAAGCCCACGAGGTGACAATGTTGAGTTTCCTCACAAGGTGACAATGTTGAGTTTCCTCACAGGGTGTTCTTGATTCACTCAGCTCAGATTTGAGTTTCAGTTCCCACTTTTGGTAGCACAGCTTGTGGCATTTCTGTTTGGAAAGACAAAGGCAGGAGCAGAGGAAAGCCTCACCCTGAGCTTTCTCCGAACTCTTCCTTTAGGGAACGGGTTGGAGCTGTGAATCCTTTCAGCAGGAGCTGTTTCTCTGTCCCCAGAGGAGCGTTTTTGGCTCACTGGGGAGGATGTGTGCAGCCAGGTCTGCTCCATTCTGCCCCTTGGCTTCAGCAGGAGGCAGCAGGAGAACCTGCCAGAGATGCTCTTCCCCAGCAATCCCCAGAATGCCCAGTTTAGGGAAAACTTGGGTGGAATTATACCTGCCCAGTTCAGGCTCTGGCCAAGGCAGCTCCTTTGAGTTGGACCAAACTTGCCCAGGGCCAACCCTGGTGTGATTCTTGGGGTTGTCGTGTGCAGGACCAGGAGCCGGACTTGGTGATCCTTGGGGGTCCCAAAGGATTCCAGGATTCCAACACCTCTGGTGAGGGCAACCCCAACAGAGTTCCTCATTCTGCTGGCAGCCTGAGAGGGCCAGCCAGAGCCTGTCAGCTCCCTGACAGCTCCCTGTCACCTCCCTGTCCCCCCTGTACCCCTCCACACTATTGCCTTGGCCAGGGCTTGCCTGGTCTACTGGCCACGCCACCCCCTTGTCCCCAGTCCCCACCTGGCTTGTGATACCAAAGACGTTCTCTATGCAGGAGAAAGCCTTCATTGCCACCCAGCACAGACCTTACAAGCCTTTGACAATGTTCTCTGAAATACCTCAAAATATTTAATGTATAGTTTATGTGATAAAAAAAAAATTACTTAGCTAGTTTTTGGAATTTGTGACTTGAAGCTTTATACTGTTAAATTATAATTTTGCAGAAGACGGCATGTTCTTATTTCTTTGATGCGTTCAATGGGAGACATATTGAATGTTAAGGAAATGAAAGCTGGATAGTTTCACGATTTAAAAAAAAAAAAAGAGAGAGAAAGAGAGAGAGAAAGAGAGAGAGAAAGATTAAAAAAAAAAGGACCCTTGGAGTTTACAGATTTCATATTTAAACAAGTCCTTTTAAAAAAAAAAAGAAAAAAAAAGAAAAACTAATAATGATGACGATACCTTTGCGTTCAGATGTGTTACTTTTCTCTGAGTCATGTCGTACAAGAGTATTTATTATATGTGTTCTGTGTTCAAATGTAATTTAAAGAAGACAAAAAAAAAAAAGAAAAAAAAAGACAAGATGAGAATTTGATTTATGCATGAAAAAAATATACTCTTTCTTGAAGTAATGTAATAATTATTGGGGGAGGGGAGGTCGGGTGGGAGCGGGAGGGGACAAACTGTGCTTTTTTTTGTCCACGAGTTTTTGGTTGATGAAGATTTCTCTGCATGGATCATGGTTCTGTTCCAACTCACAACCACGGGAAAGTCATCATTTATCCCCTCGGTTTCTTCCTTCATCTCTTTTGTTCCTTTCCTCACCCTGGAAATCTCTTGGCAGCCACGGGGGGAGGCGGGGGCTGCTTGGGGGACCCCCAGGCAGGGTGGGGGGCACAGCCTGGCCCCGTGCCCAGCAAACAGGGTAAGGGAATCTGGGCCACGGGACCCTGCCGTGCCCATCCATCCCTGCTGCCTCCCCCCTGGGTCTGGCTCCTTGCTCTGCTTCGTGTTTTCTGTTTGTTTGCTGGGGGGGTTGTGGTTTTTGGGTTTGGTTTTTTTTTGCCTTATCCAGCTCTGTGGGTCAAATCCCAAGTGCAGCCAAGAGGAGGAGAGACAATCAGCCACCACCACAACCTGAGCTGGCAAAGCCATGGGGCTCCTCGTGTGCTCTGAGACAAGGGAAACAGCCCTGGGCACCCCAAAACTGCCCTCAGGGCTGAGACCTCTCCAGGTGATGTTCCCAAATCCCCATCCTTGGGATGACCTCACAGCCCTGCCTGGCGCAGAAAGAGGTGCTGAGGATGGTGCTGCATCAAGGCCCAGCTGGAACCAGGGATGGGCTGGAGTGACCCATTTCTGGGGTCCTCAAGAATGTGGTTTGGGTCAGAGGCACACTCAGCACTCTGTCCCTGTCAGACTTTCCTGTGCCACCAGCCTGGCTCTCACTCTGTGCCTGCCCTGGCTGAAGAAGAGACTCCAGGCAGTGGAAGAGCCCCTGGAGGATCCCAACCCACCAGATGGTCTCGGGCCACTTTGGAAGGGCTTTGGAGCTTTCTGCAAATGCCCAGAGTCCACCCCCTGAGTGGCTCTGTCCTTCCCCTGCTCCTTCCTCCCCCTGCTCCTCCCTCCCCCTGCTCCTCCTCCTCGAGGAGCACCTTTGGAGGCCAGGAAGGTGATGGGGACCTGGAGGAGGCAGTGGTGCCATTCCCAGAGCATTTCCCTGGAACTGCTGCTTCCTCAGCCCTTTCCAACCTCTTTACCACCTGAGGTGGACCCAAAGCTCAGCTCACCATGAGGAAAGAGATCTCAGCTCCTTTCAGGCCCCATCAAAGTGGCCCCCAAAAGCCAAGGAAGGTGTTTTTCAATCTGCAGCTTCTGTCTGCTGCCATGATCCTGCAGCCTTTGCCACCAGCACCGAGATGCTCAGCAGCAGGTGGTGGTGGAAGACCCACAGACCAAGGACCTGGCTTTTAGGAGGAGATGTTGTTGGTTCCAGCAACACCACTCATCTGCTGACCAACCTGTCTGTCTTCTGGGGAGCTCAGCATCCCCCTCATGCCTCATTTCCTCCTCAAGGACCTTTTCCACCATGAGAAGCTTGAAGGACAAGACTGGAATTACAACTGCAAGAAGGTCAACCATGTTTGGATACAACCCCAGTCACAAGTCCTTGGACCTTACAGAGACCAGCTGGATTCCGTCCTGGGGATTGATGGCTTGGGAGACCCTGGAGAAGCCAAGACCTGAGCCCTCCTCCCCATCCTTTGGCCCATCAGGACTCTCTGGCTCAGCTGAGCCCTGCCCACACTGGATCTGGCCGTGCCTGCTGCCCACACCAACCAAAATGCCTTCAGGAGCAACTTGCCACGATACCAAAGATTTTTTTTTCCCTGCAGGTAATGACAATCCGAGCTCTGTCCTAAAGACAATTCTCTTGACCAGGGTTGCACCCAAAGGGCATTTTTGTGCTGTGGGGAGCAGAAGCAGAAACGGGGCCCTGGGAACACCTCCAGGGGTGATGGAGGGCAGTGAGGAAGAGGAGAAGACCTGAGATCTCCCAGTAAAACCTACCAGTTCATCCTGGCCACTGTCTCCTGATTGAATTGTGGAAGTTTTCAGGGATTTGGGTCATTTCATGACCTGTGATGCCCCCACCCACTCCAGTTCTTCCTGGAGTGGAAGTTTTCCAACGATGGCTTTTATACTTTGAAACATCTCTGCCAGCAGTGGGCCAGCACCACCCCCATCCCACCAGGAAAGCAGAAGGCTCTTGGGGTCGGTTTTAAACATTTTTATCCCACTCTGGCACAACCAGGGCCAAGCTTTCCCTGCTCTAACATCAGCCGGGCCAGCAGGACATTGGCACAGAGTGAGAGAAATGGCTTTGCCAAAAATTCACCCTTTTCTCCTGAACATCCCAAGTCTGGGTGGGGAAGACGATCAGCTCCTCTTTACCTCTCTCCCCAACCGATGTTGGGCACTTTTAGTCAGTGCCCCGTCTGCCTGTCCCTGTCACCACCACATGTCCCCAGCATGGAGCTGGCTCCTTTCCCTTGTCTCAGAGGACACGCAGCCACGGGGCCTGCAGGAGCCGCCACAAGGAACATCTCTCACATCTTTGTTTGGCGTTTTTTTTAAAGACAGGAACTTAAAAACGCAAAGAACAAAACTTGGGTTTGGTTTGGGTTTTTTTTTTTATTTTTCCCCTTCGATTTCTGAAGAAAACAAAGGAGTCAGACAGAATCCAGCCTGGCCAGGGAGAACCCACAGCCTCGGCTCTGCCAGCCCAGCCTCCTCCAGAAAACACTGTTCATTTTTCTGTATAGCAATAGGTGACGCTCGTCCTCATCCCACGCACTCCGAGGGCCACATCTCTGAGTTTTTAAATGACTTTTTCCTTCTAATTAAATTAATTTAATTTTTTTTGCTGCTGCTTCATTGTTACTCTCATGGGATAAGTTTTATTCTACAGCGAAATGCAATTGTTACTCCTCTGTGTCTTGCAACTATATTTGTTTAAGCTATTTACAAACGTTAAAAAAGAAAAAAAAATAAAATAAAAAAGAGTCTTATGTGTCAGGCACTTTATCCAAAATGTGCTGTGTGCTCTGGAGTTTGTTCCTTGTTCTTTGCAATGACTCATGCAGGGGAAGTTATCAGGAAACTTAACTCCAGCCTGTCAACAGGTTTTAAAAGAGAGAAAAAAATTAATCTCTATTTGTTCATCCTCTACTGGTCATGACTGTGTTGTATTTCTGCAGCTTTCTGTTTCTTCAATAAATTATTTTCTAGTCATTCACCCCGGTGTGTGTGGTGTCCTGTGGTGGTGAGGGGGTCACGTTCCTCTCCATGCCCCTTTCACCACCTCACTCCTCCCACAAACCCAGCCTGGGAGATTCAGGGATCATGCCCAGGATGTTGTTTTCCACCCCCTGTTTTCCACCCCGTTTTCCACCCCGTTTCCCACTCCATTTTCCACCCCCTGTTCTCCACCCCCTGTTTTCCACCCCCTGTTTTCCACCTGGCAGTTGCAGCAGTGAGAGCTTTCCCAGAGGAAAGACTTTTATTTCTTGGCACCATCCAGGCCCTTCTGGCCAGAGCCCAAGGGAAACACTTTAATTCTCTCAAACCCGGTGCAGATGAGGCCAAAGCACTTGTAAAACAAACCCATCAACTCACATGTGCTGCAGGCAGGGCCAAGCCCCCGTGGATGATTTAATTGTGCATCTTTTACCCAAATTTCTTCTCCTGCTGTGCCTTTTGCCACGGCACAAGCACTGCTGGCACAGACCGAGACACCTTCCAGTGCCACTTTCACCCTTTGTGGCACAGCAGAGACTCCCAGGAGAGGAGATAAAAGCTAAACCATCATTTTAATTAAAACCAAAACCCTAATAAGGGTGATCCAGTTCACACACAACTTCTCCAGCGGCCAATGCTGGTGGCCCTGGCTCTGTGGGACATGTCCCCTGTGTCCACCAGGCAGAACTTATCCACATCCCCCCCAGAAGTGCTTTTTGGGACTTTGCAAAGCCTGTGGCTGTAAGCTGTCCCCAAAGGTGGGGACACCAGACCTGGGGGAGTGGTGTGGAGATGGGGCAAGGCACATAGAGAGCACTGCCCCTTGTGCAGGGACAGCAAAGGCAGGGGCTGAGAGTAGTGGGGAGTGACAAGGAGGGCTGCAGGAGCCAGGCTGGTCTGGCTGGAGAAGAAAAACCTGCAGGTGATCAATCAATCAATCAATCAATCAATCAAACCTGGCTGCTTCTCCCGAAATTAGGGGATATTTTAAAATTACACTGCTCGAGTCTGAGCCACCTGGGCTGGTGGAGGTGACCCTGCCCATGGCAGAGGGTGGAATGAGATGAGCTTTAAGGTCCCACCCAAACCTCTGCAGGATTCTGTGACCTGATTGATGACAGAAAAGCCACAGGATTGTCACCAGCCCTTGGTGGAGAACACAAAAGGTTCTTCGTGCAGCCACTGCAGCTCAGTCCCCTGAGGGTGGGAATGAGCAGGGCTGAGGGGCTGCACCCCCACCCAGCCCACGCTGCTCTCCATTGGGACATTTAATTAATTCCGAGGTGCGTTAATGAGTCTGGGTCAGCAGCGCTGCTTTTGTGGGTCCAGCCTGGGGTGGGATGAGCCTCACACAAGAGGAAGCCCTGGTTCCAAGGACTCAGCAGAGGGAAGGGGCTGTGCTGCCAGCCAGGGGTTCCAGGGCGAGGGGCCGAGCCCAGTGGCAGCGGTCAGCGGCTTCCGGAGCTTTCCAGCACCGTGTGCAGCAGTGTGGGGCCATGGGGCCACTGCAGGGCCTGGCCCAGGGCTCAGCACCCGCAGCAGGAGCCCCCCAGGCTGGGCCAGCCCCTCTGCAACCGCAGGGGCTGCAAAACCCCCAAGTAAGATTAAAGGTGGAGGGAAGAGCCAGGTGTGTGCCCTGCTGCAGGGCTACACCGAGGGGCAGAGCAGGGAGGACACGGCCGGGGTGCCCTGGGGTGGCAGGGAACCCGGGGAGGTGCCGTGGGTGGCCCTGGCACGCAGACTGTCCCCGCGGGTGATGAGGCCGGCGTAGCCCTCCTGATGGGAGAAGGCGTAGCTGGAGCGGCGGTGGAAGGAGCCACGGGGAACGTGGGATCGCAGCTCCACCGAGGGCTCTGGATCCCGCTTGGCCTTCAGGTGGATCTTCTGCAAGGACAGAGGAGATCGGAGCTGGGGACATCTCCCAGGAGAGCCCTCATCCCAATGGGGACATGAAGGGAGAGCAGGGGCACCTCCACCAGGGCACGGTTTGGCTTCCAGCTCTATGATGACCTGATTTTCCATGGGGATGAGGATTCTGGGGATTCTCCTGGGGATCTGCAAAGCTGATGGAGCTCTGGAGCACAGTGTCAACCCCTGCTCCCACAGGGGCTGTGGACACCTCTCAGGCAAGCCCTCAGCCCAAGGTGGGACACGCGGTAGTCACAGTGTCTCCTCCAGGACAGGGTTTGGATCCCAGCTCCACCATGACCTCCTTTTCCATGATGGGATGTGGGGACTCTCCTGGGGGCTGCAAAGCTCACAAAACTCTAGAGCACAATCTCAACCCCTGCTTCCACCTGGGGCCCTTTTGAAGGTATAACCCACAGCCCCGGTGGGGGTGAGCTCCAAGGCTGGGGTGGCACCAGGACCTGCAGCAGACCCCAGACCCTCCTGGGGGGTCCTTGAGGACAATTCCTTACTGCAGCCAAAAGCAGACCCTCTGCAAGAGCTGGGTCAGGTCTCCTGGCCCAGCCCCCCTGTTGGGCCATGGAACAATTTTGGGAGAGAGCCCTGGAGTGAGAGTTGGTGCCAGTGTCATGAAGGACGAGTGGCACCACCAGGGATTCCCAGCACCACAGCCCAGGCTTCCCTGGGGAACCTGCCCCTGCCATCAGCAATCCCAGACCCCAACACTGGTGGGAAGCAGGACCTGTCCCTGCCTGTCCCCCCCAGCCCTCACCTGCTGGGGGGTGGCTCTGCCCAGGACGGCACGGAAGGCACGGACAGCGAGCGAGGGGATGGTGTTGGCCACCAGGGACAGCAGGACCACGAGCAGGACATAGGGGTCGGTCAGGGCATTCCAGCAGGCATCTGTCAACACAGATGTGATGTTTGGGTAGGGAAGGTGTAAACGGCAGAGGGAACAAGTGCTGGGGGACAGGCCAACACGTGCTGAGGGTTCTGAAGAGGAGATGGCACCTAAACTGGTAAAAGTCAAGACAGCAGTTGAAGAAGTGGCAATGAGGAGATGATCTACAGGCTGGGAAACAGCTCCTAGCACCAGGGCCAGGGAAGGGAAGGGCCATGGGGATCCCCAGGGTACCTCACCTGGGAAGCGGAAGATGGCAGGGGCGATCCTGAAGGCATCAATGCTTTGGGTCAGGAAGGAGAAGAGGCAGAAGAAAAGCAGGCTGGCTGTGACCATCAGGAAGGACAACACTGTCCAGTACTGAGTGTCCAGGACAATCTGTGGGAACAAGGGCAGAGCGGGAAGAGCACACGGTCTCATGAGGGCCATGGTGACCCTCTTCCATCCAGCTACTTCATCCAAATTCCTCCTCCATCCCAGGGAGATCGTCCCCCAGCCATAAAGCCACTGCAGACAGTGCCAGAGCCCAGAGACCCTAAAGAGCTGCTGTGGGGCAGGATGAGGAAGAGCAGATCAGTGCTCACCTCCACAAGGACCGACAGCAACGCTGACAGGGCCACTGTGACAGAGAAGGACTCATAGTCACCCACAGCCTTGGTGCCCACGTGGTCCTCAAAGGCCCAGAGCGCAATGTAGAAGCTGATGAGGGAGGTGCCCACCCCGTGCAGGAGGGTGACACCAAAAACGCGGTAATTGAAGAGCTCGTCCTGCTGCCCGACCACGTAGAGCTCAGGGAACTCCAGGCTCTTCTTGGCACTCACGTCCTGCTGGGAGAGCATCCCAGAGGGGATGCAGAGACTGGGGGAGCTGGATGGGGCTGCCCCACCCCACACACCCTCTGGAAGAGCTGCAGTGGGTCCCTCTGCCCAGTGGCTCTGGGGGGAATGGGGACAGGCACCCCAGGACCGGGGGTGAGCTCCACATGCCCACCGAGCTGCCAATGCCATGTCCTGGCACAAAGGGCTGTGGAGATGGGTGCAGTGACTGCCAGGGTGATTCCCAGGGTGGCACAGCGAGCCCAGGAAAGCTGTACCTGCTCCAAAAGGCCCACGGAGAGCACGGGGTAGGCAGTGTAGAAAATGTTGTAGAGCGCAAGGAACCAGCCCTCGTACAGAGGCTAGAAGGGAACAGGGAGAAGCTGTGAGCTTGGAGGTGCTTTGGAAAGACTCACAAAGGATGTCCAGGCCCCAGGACACTCAGATCCAAACATGGAAATCCCCTTGGACAAGGAGATCCCAAGTTTCCCCAGGGTGCTTTCCCAATCCAGCCAGGTGAAAAGCAGATAACCAGTGGTGTCTCAGGCAACCACAAGAAATTGGGCATGGTGAGGGAGAACAGGGGACCAAGGTGGTGATGTGGACACGTGTCCTCCAGACAGCCCCAGGCACGATCCCTGCAGGGGATCCTGAGCAGGGGGAGTTGTAACTCTGGTATAGAGACTTCCACAGGATGGATGTGACCCCTGCATCCCTCACCTGGGCCGTGAATCCGCTGTGGAAAGCAAACCACACCTGGGCCAGGAGGCCAGCAAAGGTCTTGTAGAAGAAGTACCGGAGGAACTTGCAGATGCGCAGGTAATTCCAGCGGCCATGGATGAGCAGCAGGCGCTGCAGGAAGGAGAACTGGGCCAGGGCGTAGTCACTGCACTGCACGGCCTGCAGCCCCTCCAGCCCGCTGATGCCCACCCCGATGTCTGCGGCTGTGGGTGGCAAACGCACACGGGGAGGTTTGGGGGGAGCTGGGGGCTTGATTTCCCCATGGGCTGTCCCGAGGAATGTGAATCCAGGAGTGACAGAAAAGGGAAGAAGCCCCTGCTATCCCATGTCCTGGATATTCCAGGTGTGGTGTGCCAAGAGCACGGCCCCGTGTCAGGGCTGCTGGGAGGGGCAGGGATGGCTCTGCCAGCTGCCCACGTTGGGGTTTGAAGGTTCATCAAGGTTCATCCCAGATGCCAAAAGCACATGGGCCACCTTGCACTTGTCTCGGGCTGTCCCTGTCCTGTGCCTCTCGCTCCCCTCCCAGCACAGCAATGTGGGGAACAGGTTTGGGCTTCCCCTCCCAGTTCCTCACCCCAAAGAGGAGGGTGAGGCGGTGGAGATGACAAATGGGGCAGCACCATCACCAGTGGGACACACCAATGGAAGCCCGACCTCCCCTGCCTGAGCCTCACTTTTGATCATGTTGACATCGTTGGCGCCATCCCCGATGGCCAAGGTGACGGCCTTCTTGTGCTTCTTCACCAGCTGCACTATCAGGGCTTTCTGCTTGGGGGTCACCCTGCAGCAGATGACGGCCTGGCAGCTGGTGGCCAGGTCCACAAAGGCCTTCTCCACCAGACCTCCCTGGTCCTGCAAGGCCTTGGCCCCATCACAGCACAGCCACCGCCACGGCCACCCCTTCTTCTCCTTCAGCACCTCTCCTGTGTGGAGGATTTTGTCCTTGGGGAAGAGCACACGTGGCTGGGACCTCTCCTGTAGCCCTCAGAACCCTCAGCTCCTAACCAATGTTCTTAAATGCCCCAAAAGAGTGACTCTGGTTTTCTCCAGGTTCATCACAGAGCAGGTGCTGTGACCATGAGCCCAGTATGTCCCAGTATGACCACGAGAGTTTGTGGTCACCACCCGGCCTGTCACCCCAGAACACTGAGCAGCTTTGGTCAAAGCCTCCCAGCACCAAATGCTCGGTGCAAGGTTGTTCTCCTCTCCACCCTTCACTCCCCAGCCCCAAACGGGCTTTTCCCACCTTTTGGGGAGGAGGAGCACCATGTCCTGCATGTTCTGGTGCCACCCAGGACTCTGATACCACCAGGGTAGGAACAACCATCAGGCAGGGAGCAGAGAACAGCATCCAGGTGCCACCTTACCAGGAAGTCCCCGCTGATGATGATGGCTCTCTTGTGGCACAGAGCCTCTGGGCGCTCCTGGGAGGGGCGGTGGCTGCACGGGGTGTCCCCACTGCCACTGAGGTTGTTGTTGCTCTCCCAGTAAGCCTGGAGGATCTCGCTGTGGGAGGGAGTTGGACATGAGCTGGGGACACTGGGAATGCTGGTGAGACCTACAGTGGGCCTTGGTCATCTCAAAGCTAGGGAGATGGGACTGTGGTGGGAACAAAGAGGAGATACCAGATCACTGATACCAGAAATCAGCCTGGTTTAGAGGCTGGAGAGAAGCTTTAACCGTTTCTGGTCAAAGCCTGCAAGGAAGAACATGGGGTGGGAGAGGAAACAGGGGGGGAGGCCTGGACATCCAGGCTGGCACAGGGAAGAAGCACCTCTGGCTGAGCTGAGCTCTGCCCACTCTGCCCCAGTTCTTCTGCCCTAGAGTGTCCTCAGCAGGGACAGCAACATCCTGAGCCAGGAGGTGACCATTCCTCACCTGACCTCCTTCTCCTCCAGGATCTCCATGTCGTCCGTCAGCAGCCTGCAGGCGTAGCCGATGTTCATTGCGGTCTCTGCAACAGCCAGCTGTCAATGGTCCATGGTGCTGCCCCCCAGCCCAGGGCAGCCCCCAGCCCTTGGCTCCAAGAGCCCTTGGTGGGCAGCAGCTCCTTTCCCTGCCTCAGTTTCCCCTGGCAGGTGGGATGTGCTGCTACTGGAGAGTAAAGGGAGCAGCAGGACCCGTTCCTGCCCACTCCCAGTGGCTCTTCTCTCTGGTCCTGCTTAGGGGAGAAGCTGAAATGTGTTGGGGGCGTCTGGGGGTGCCTCCACTGACCTTGTTTGTCTCCTGTCAGCACCCACACTTTGATGTTGCCCAGTTTCAGCAGCTGGATGGTCTCGGGGACTCCGTCTTGCAGCTTGTCCTCGATGGCCGTGGCCCCGAGCAGCTGGAGGGGGGTGACTGGGTGTCATGGCACAGGGCAGGGCAGGACACGGAGGTGGGAATCACCCCTGGACCCAACCAGCAGCCTTTGCTGGGGGTAGACACAACTTGACAGCTACAACTTGACGCTCTGGTGTCCACTGGTGTCACAAAGTCACCCCTCGGGGAAATCCTCCCACCCAGGGAATGGGTGTTGGGTTGGGCACTTCACCTCCTCATTCTGGAGAGCCAAACCCCACATGCCTGCCCTATGGGGCACAGACAGCTCCTCCTGACCCCGGCCCCATCCCACCTGCAGGTTCTGCTCCATCTCCTCGTAGAGCCTGTCCAGCTCCTGGGCACGGTCCTGCAGCAGCACCGCGGCCTCGCGGTGCCTCCGGCTCCAGGTGCGGAACTCGGCCTCGCTCACCTCCCTGCTGGCCACGCACAGCGTCCTCAGCGTCTCCTCTGCAAAGCGCTGCGGGGAGGAGACATCAGGACTCTCCTCCCTCCCCAGGATCACTCTCACAGGACCAGGGCATCACCCCAGGCCAGCCATGGCAGAGCCAGAGATGCTGCAGGATCTGGGAGTCTCTCTCAGGGCTCTGACTCCCTTCCCCCATCCTACAGCATCCCCACGAGCATCCTTGGATGCAGCTGGTCCATGCAGAACACCCAAGGTGGATTCCATGCCCTCTTACCCCCTGTCCCACATGCAGGTGAGGCTCCTAGAGCAGAAGGCAGAACCAAAATCCCTAAGGCAGAGGGAGGAAGAGCAGTAGGGCACTGACTGCAGGACACCCAGCCCAAAGCCAGCAGGAGGGAGAGCAGTCCTGTCACCCTGGCTGGGTGGGACTCACATCCAGCGCCGTCTCGGTCAGGGTCTCGCTGGGCCCTCGGCTCCGCAGCCTCTCCAGGATGACGGTGTCGGCACCCTTGGTGTAGAGCCGGATGGTGCCCTGGGGGTCTCGCACTGGCAGGGAGGGGAAGGACACCTTAGGTCCCCTCAGAGATGGCTCCCAGTCATCACTGTCCCTGCAGGGCGGCTGCACTGGCCTGTGCTGGCCCCCAGAAAGCACCACAGGGCTCGCTGGTGCTTTTCCATGTGTGGCCATGGGAAGCACAGGAATATCCCCAGATTGGCACCACCACGGGGCAGAATCAGGCCTCAGGGACTGTCAGCTCCTCACACAACTCCTCTGTGCCCTGGATTTACTTCCTCCCTCCTGGCTGCTCAAACTCTTCTCAGCTGGTGAGCAAATCCACAGGGATGACCAGGATGACCCTTAGGAGCCCGCTGCCAGCTGTGGCCACCTGCAGCCATCCCAGTGCCATCCCTCGTGGGGCTGAGCACAGAAAGGAGCCTGGAGGAGCCCCCTGGGACAGCCCACCCCACTCACCCAGGACAGACATCCTCTTGCGGTCGCTGTTGAAGTCCAGCATGGCCAGCACCTCGTACGTCCTGGTCCTGCCCAGCTCCCTGATGGTGATGCTGTCCTCTGTCCGGGCCAGGAAGACGTAGCCCAAGCTCCTGGCTGCCAACACCAGCGCTTCCTCATCTGGGGAAGCTGCCTGGTAAACCAGCTGGTCTGCAGGAGAGGAGCAGGGATTGATCACCCACAGACCCCAGCCAAACCACACTGGGACAGCTGCAATGCTCTGTTCCTGCCCAGCAGCATCTGGGACACATCCAGCCTGAGCTACCAGGCTGGGCAAACTGAGTCCTGCTTGTCTCATCTGGAGAGGGACTGGGGACAAGGCCTGGAGGGACAGGACACAGGGAATGGCTCCCACTGCCAGAGGGCAGGGCTGGATGGGATTTTGGGCAGGAATTGTTGGCTGGGAGGGTGGGCAGGCCCTGGCACAGGGTGCCCAGAGCAGCTGGGGCTGCCCCTGGATCCCTGGCAGTGCCCAAGGCCAGGCTGGATGGAGCCTGGAGCAACCTGGGAGAGCTGGACACCTTAACCTAAAGGCATCCCTGCCATGGCAGGGATGGAGCTGGATGAGTTTTGAGGTCCCTCCCAACCCCAACCATTCTGGGATTCTGTGATCCTTTTTGCTCCAGCCAGGATTATCCCCCTTGTGTTTCTATTCCCACCCACGAGCTTTTAAACACCCCAAAACACAAATCCATGGCCCAGGGACAGTGTCACGAGCCACCCCTGGGCTCTCACACCCGCTGCTCCCCACAGCTGAGCTTTGCTGGGTGCTGCCAAACCCCAGCACGGCCCCAGAGCCCCGAGGGGCAGCTGAACCCACCGCCCCTGTCCTCCACCATGACGGTGTGGCAGAGCGCCAGCAGCCTCAGGAACTCCCTCAGCACCGGGTCACTGTCCCTCTGAGCAGCTTCCAGCAGCGTCACATCGCAAACATCCACCTTGTGCTCGCCCCCCGCCAGCCACGGGCCCTGCCAGAGACACAGGGAGGATTCAGGAGCCCGGTGGCACTGGGCACAGGGCTCTGTGTCCCCAGGAGCACCGGGGATGTGACACCGTGGCACTCTGCTGGCTGAGCCTCAGCCCAGCTCTGCACTGCCCACACCAAGGGCTGAGTGTAAAACAGCTGGCAGTGAAAAACCCTAAAAACCAGAACTGCATCGTTTTATAACCCCAGTTCCTGTCCTGAGTGGCAGCTGAGGAGCTGCAAACTCTCCAGGCCCCTCTGAGAGCCTGGACCCTGCTGGTGTCACCGGTGTCACCAGGGGCACGTGGCACGTGGGAGGGGGGACTCACGCACCGGTGGCTGTTTGTTCTCCTGGCCTGTGCCTGCACCTGCCAAAATAAAAATAATCCAGTCAACAGAGGGCTGGCAGGGGGCTGGGAGCAGCTTCTCTGGAGGGACTCCTGCTGGCCAAAACCCCAGCTAAACCAGCAAAAAGGCACCAGGTCTGCATCTGCTCAGTGTCAGACTCCACCGGGATATCCAGGCCTCGCTTTTTTGGCTTTTTGTTCAGATTTTCACCATGATTTTAATGTTAAAAATTCAGGTCTACTTTCCTGGGAGATTCTGCATTTGGCCAAAGACTGCTGGGATTAGGGTGATGCTGCTCCACAGAAGTGGAATGTGCTACACCTGGCAGGGAAAATTTGGCTTATTCCTGCCTAAAAGCTTTGTTTTAGGTGTTTTTGGCCCTCCTTTTTGCTTTTATCACTGTCCATTTGTCTCAAGCACATGATATTTATCTCAGGAAAACAGGGCTTCATGCTAAAGCTTGAGCCTGATCTGCTCATTAAATTTCACTTATTAAGCATCATGACAGTTCCCAAAGTGAGCCAAGAGCTGGAGTAAGTGCAGCAATGAGAAGAGGAAGGACTTGGTGATTTCCAAGGTTTTATTGGGAAAACCAAGCAGAATCATTAAAAATAATAAAATTTTAAATGTAAAAAAAAAATGGTTATAAAACCCAAAAAAACCCAAAAAGACAAATTTTTTTTAAAAAAGGAAAGAGCAATTGCATATGTTCACTCTAATTAAACAGCTTAAGGACAATGATCATTTCCTCGCCTCCTCCAAAGGTCCCCTGAAAGCCTCAAAGTGCCCAGATTTGGCAGCCAAGCTGGAGATTCCCCAGAAAATGATACAAAGAAGAAAAGCAACAGCTCCCTTTTCTCTACAAGACCTTGAAAGAAAACAAAAATGCCTGGGCTCTCCTGGCCCCTCTCCTGTTTCTCCTCTGCCTGGCCCAGCATCAGCTCACGATTCCAGGTGGGATCCACCTCACCCACACCGTGCTCGGTGTAGCTGCCCCAGGGTCCTACCCCAGGCTCCCTTTTTTATCAGAGAGAACTTTGCTGGTCTGCACTGCCCACACCAAGGGCTGAGTGTAAAACAGCTGGCAGTGAAAAACCCTAAAAATCAGAACTGCATCATTTTATAACCCCAGTTCCTGTCCTGAGTGGCAGCTGAGGAGCTGCAAACTCTCCAGGCCCCTCTGAGAGCCTGGACCCTGCTGGTGTCACCGGTGTCACCAGGGGCACGTGGCACGTGGGAGGGGGGACTCACGCACCAGCTGAGTTTGGGCCATGAAACCTCTCCTGGTTGGAGGCCAGAACTGTGCCCTGACTCCGTGTGCTGGGAACACCAGACCAGTGGGACCTCAGGCTGTGGTGGCCCCAAAACCATGGGGGATGAGGACAAGGAGAATTCCTACAGCACCACCTGCACCACCACCACCAATCCCCCTGTCCCAAGCCCTCAGGAGGGGTGGGAAGGACCAGCTCCAGGTTCATCTGAGCCCCTACAAACTTATCCCAGCCCGGGTTACCGTAGATGGTCCCGTTGACGCAGCATTTCTTGAAGCTCATGATGTTCTGTGTCAGGGTGCCCGTCTTGTCCGAGAAGATGTACTCGATCTGCCCCAGCTGGTCATTGAGGCTGGTGCTCCTGGCTTCAGCTGGCATGTCCTTGGCACCATAATACATCTCCAGGTCCCAGTTAATAAAACAACTGTTCACCAGGTAGATGAATTCAAACCTAGGGAGTCCAGGAGGAGAAAACAGGGAGAAGGAGATGGTGTTCCTCACAACCCAGGGGCACTGACACAGGAAGGAGAGGCAGGGGGAGGTCCCCACCTTGATCCTACTGCTCTGGGCTTGGGGGACACCAGAGGGTTTTCATTGCTCGTGGCCAGGTTTCCAAAAATCTCCTCACCCACTGGGTCCCCTCTGGAATTCTGGTGAATCTGGTGGCCAAATTCACAGATCTGGAGGTCCAGTGAGGGGCCCAAAAGTTTGGAAACAGCTTTTTCCAACATAAATGGTGATTGTTGCCTGCACAGAGAAGCTGTGCCCTCCTCCCCCACCCTGCTGCTGTCCACAGGAAGCCCAGGAATATCTCAGATCCTGCTCCCAGGGAGCTGCACCTTCCTCAGAGCCGTCCTCAGCCTGGCCACGGTTCCCAAACAGCCCAGGGCTTGGATCCCTGTTCTGCTTTTCCCCTGGGAAGATCTCCAAGCAATCCTTGCTGTTTGTAGGATACAAACCCATCCACCCTTCCCCTGTCCCAGCTAAGGGAGCACCTGGGAATCACCTTGGCCACACCTTGACCTTCAGTGCGGCCTCATTTTGGGGCCATGACCCGAGTTCCAGGTGAGGGCAGGGGGTGGGTGCTGAGCCCTGATCCCTGCCAAGCTCCACGGTCCTTACGTGATGTACATGGACATGGGGATGATGACGCTCAGCAGGATGGTGAAGCCCCAGAAGTTGAGGAAGGCCTGCTGGACAGGGCTCGTGTGCTTGTAGAGGGCAGCCAGGTAGCTGTGCTTCTCCTGGAACGTCCTGGCCCAGAACCCAGAGGCGACGGCGAGGCCCAGGGACGTCACCAAAAGCAGCAGGAAGATCTGGGGTGGGAAGCCAACATGAGAAGGTCCCAAGATGAGAAAGTCCCAGGATCACAGAGCCCACCAGACTCTTCTCTAGAAGGCTCCAGGGAGAGCTCAGAGCCCCTTGCAGGGCCTAAAGGGGCTCCAGGAGAGCTGGAGAGGGACTGGGGACAAGGCCTGGAGGGACAGGACACAGGGAATGGCTCCCACTGCCAGAGGGCAGGGCTGGATGGGATATTGGGCAGGAATTGTTGGCTGGGAGGGTGGGCAGGCCCTGGCACAGGGTGCCCAGAGCAGCTGTGGCTGCCCCTGGATCCCTGGCAGTGCCCAAGGCCAGGCTGGAGGGGGCTTGGAGCAGCCTGGGATGGTGGGAGGTGTCCCTGCCATGGCAGGGGTGGGAATGAGCTTTAAGGTCCTTCCAACCCAAACCATTCTGGGATTCTCTGATTCTCTGAACACGTTAAACCCAAGATATTTCAGGCCAAATATTGCAAGATGAAGGAAAGCAGCACCACCCGAGCAAGAGGTCTCTCCTGAAGAGCCCTGTGAGCCACTCCAGGAGCAGAGCAGAGGTGTTTGCACCCACCACGATCACCAGCCGGTCCATCAGGTGGTCCAGCTTGGTTTTCTTCTGCTTGATCTTTCCAGAGTTCATCATAATTTTGGAATCAAACCCTGGATAAGAAACACATCTGAAGTAAAAATGCAAGTCCCCAGAAGGTTTCCCTGTCAGTGAGGCTGCTTCCCTCCATGGTGACACCTCCCCTCCCCTGAAGAGCCCAGAGGAGACCCTCCCTCCAGCAGTGTCCACCAAGCCGTGGCTGCACGATGCGATGCTCACAGCAGCTCTCACCCCTCCCTCTCCCCACAGCCCCGCATGGCCCAGCCCTGTGCTGGGTCCGGGGTGAGGAGAGCTTCAGCCCCACCTCACCTCCCACCACCCATCCCATCCCATCCCATCCCATCCCATGGATCCCATCCCATCCTATCCCATGGATCCCATCCCATCAATCCCATCCCATCCCATCCCATCAATCCCATCCCATCCCATCCCATCCCATCCCATCCCATCCCATGGATCCCATCCCATCCCATCCCCACCAGGACACTCCGCTGCGCTCCTCCACCTTGTGCCAGCCGGGAGCGGCACCTGTGGCAGCGCTCGGGGAGCTGAAAAGCCGGCTGGTGTTCATTCCTGCCCCCCGGGCCGGGCAGGGACACTCACCCGCGTACAGCACCAGCCCGTGGCACAGCGCGGTGTTCCGGACGCGGCAGCCCCGCAGGAGGATCCGGCCGCTGTCCAGCCCGTGGATGCGGCCCCGCCAGCGCAGCGCGCCCGAGAAGGAGAGCATGCGGCTGCTGGGCTCCTCGCACATCACCCGCCCTGCCACACGGAATGTCAGGGGCCACAGGGAGCCTTCCTCCCCTCGTGTCCCTGTGCCTGGAGGTTTTTTTGGATTTTCCAGGTTCTGCGCTGCGTTAGTGACTCTGAACTTCACACGAAGCGTTAGTGGGTTCTCACAGCTCAGGCACACACACAGATCCTTTTCCAGCCCCACAACCAAGGACACCGCTGCAGCTTTGGGCCCGAAAAGTGTAACCAGCAGGGAACTGAGGAGAGCAGTCTGGGAGGACGGGACTGCATCACCTGACACTGTAATTGGACAATTAACCCCAATATGGAAATGGACCAAAACTTATCAAAGTGTGAAACCTCGTGACTCAGAGTCCATCCTGAGTCCATCTTGGGTGGAGCCAAAGCTCCACAGCTTTTTAATAAATACCTCCTTTATTCCTTTACTCTGTCTAGCCTCTGTTCAGGGAGCCTCTCTAGGCATCATTCCCCCCAAAGAGGGGTGTCTGGGGCCTCCTGGGGAGCTTCAGGGTTTGTCAGGGCATCTCTAGGCAGGATTTGGATGGCTCAGGTTAAGGCTAAGGGAGGTGCTGGGAGGTTGGTCAGTGCAGGAACCTCAGTGGGCTGTGAACTGGAGAAGGTACAAACACAACCCCCTTCATCCCCAAGGCCTTGGAGAGGTGAGTTCTGCACCCTGTGGAGGAGCAGCAGGGGCTGAGCTCAGATTTGGGAACCAAGAGCTTGGTTCCAGTGGGAAAATCAAGATCCAGGGCAGGGGAAAGGTGCACAGCCCTGATGGATCCACCACAGAAGTGATGGGAAGTGCCTCCCCACCAGGCCTTTGGCTGCCAGCCTCTTGTTGGACCGATGGAGATGAGATCAGAGAATTCCCAGGGCTGAATTCATCCCATCCCATCCCAGTGGGATTGGCCACATCCTCCCCCACCCAGCAGACTCACCATCGAAGGCAGCCATGCTCTCCTCGCTCCCCAGCTCCTGGTGGGTCACCAGAAGGGCCTGTCTGAACTTCAGGTTTGTTTCCCTGGGAGCAGGAGCCAGAGAAAGGAAAATAAAGCAACCCTGTGGAGTGACAGAGCTGTTCATCCTCCTGTCAGCCCGTGGGACAGAGACAGCCATTAATTAGCAGGTAATTACACAAGTGGTGGCAGTGAAATGCCAGAGAGGGACCTGTCATGGCACACCTGGAGCACTCGTGCAGGAAGAGCCCTGGCCCAGAGACCCCGCCATGAAATCATCCTGCACAGGGAGGGGGGAGAATGGGCTGGGAAGGAGCTGGGAGATGGAGACACTGGCCTGAGGTCACCAGGTGCTCTGTAGAACCCTCACCAGGGCTTTTGGACTCCCATTCTCAAAATCTGTGGGTCAAATCCACTTTTTTGGGGTGTCTGTAGGTTTGGGTTTTGGAGGATCTCCCACATCCTGCAGTTCCACTGAACCCTCCCAGCTTGGGGGGTCCCCAAGACCAGGGTCTTCAGACTCTGTCCATGTCCCTGTCCCCATCCCTGTCCCCATCCCTGTCCCCATCCCTGTCCCTGTCCCTGTCCCCATCCCTGTCCCTGTCCCTGTCCCCATCCCTGTCCCCGTCCCTGTCCCCATCCCTGTCCCCATCCCTGTCCCTGTCCCTGTCCCCATCCCTGTCCCCATCCCTGTCCCCATCCCTGTCCCTGTCCTCACCCATCAATGTCAGCGGTCTCCACGTAGCACAGGCTGCTGGGCTCGGAGCTGCACAGCAGGAGCAGGTCAGCCTTGAGGAGCAGAAAAGGAAGCGAGAGCAGCTGGATGAGCCCGCGGGCAGCGATTCCCCCAGGGCACAGCCAGCTCCTGCCACCCCTCACCGGCACGACGCTGTCCTTGCGCAGCCGGACGATGTCCCCGACGCAGATGTCGCGCCACTTCTGCCAGCGGAAGCTGTGGGAGGATTCACGGGACAGATTTTTGTCCCTGCAGAGCGGTGGGACTGGGGGCTGGGGGTGTTTCAGCCCGTGCCTGTCCCCAGTTCCTGGAGGATTTGGGTCTCTGGGTTCTGGTGCCACCTCTGGGGGCTGAGCACCGAGGGTGGCACAGGACCCGTGTCACATCCGTGTCCCTGGGGGGTGACAGGGACTCTCAGCACCACAGGTGGGGACAGCTCATCTTTCCCTGGAGCAGTGCTGAGCGGGGACACGGCTGGGCTGGAAACGACGACTGGAGGAATTCTGTGGCCAAGGAAAGCCTCCCCCAGCACAACACAGCAAATTGGGGCTTTGTTAAACCTGCTGCCCTGACTGGAACACGATCCATCCCACAGGAGGACCTGTAGCACATCCTGGGGGTGATGGGAGCTTGCAGAGCCCGGGACAGTCCCACCAAAACCCTTCTCAGCTGCTGGAGGATCCTCAGCACTTCAGGTCCTTGGTTCCAGGGGGGTGTGGAAAACACAGGCAGAGCTCCCAGAGCCCCTCACCTCTTCCCATCCAGGATTTCACAGGGCCTGCTGTTGATTTTCCTGTCACTGCGGTGACGGCCCTGCACACAGGAGAGACAGAGAGCCCAGGGAAAGGTGTGGGCCATGCCAGCCTGTCCTGTCCCACAAAAACAACCCCCCCGATGCCACCACCTCCCTCCTCAGCCCCAGAGCTGCGTTCTGAGCCATGGGAAGATGTGTCCTGATGAATAAAGAGGCTGAATTCCCCCACCCCCCAGTCCATTTCTAGGGACCAAACTGTCACTACAAGGCAATAAAGATGACAGAAATGGGGGTTGGGACCCCAAGGAAAGCAGCCAGGACATCACATCTTTCCTGAGGGAAAATAAAAATGTGGATGTGGTGGAGTAGATGATTCCTCAGGACTGATGGGTGGCAGCAACCCCGAGCTCCTCAGTTCAGCTGACAGCAAAGGGCCCGTCCCTGGCAGCGTCCCCAGGGCCACCCCCCACTCACAATGTCATCAATGAGGTCCCGAAGCCCCCGGATGATGAGAAGGCAGCTCAGGGGGAACAGCAGAGTGTACCAGGGCAGCGTGGAGATCTCAGGGAAAGTCTGGAGAAGGAGAATTTTACACCATTGACTCAACTCCTGTCCCACCCTGGGACACTTGAGGTGACTGAGCGACTCCCTCGTTCCCAAGCCAGCGCCCGGGGGTGGCAGGAACCCAGCTCAGAACCATCAAATCAACACCTCTGTTACAGACACCTCTTCTGGTTGGTTTCCACCTCTTGCTGAAGTGTGAAATGCTCCTGGGTCTCTGACTTTGGAGGGATTAATTTCTGATTTGTGGTCAATGTGAACTTAGCCTACATGAAAACCAAACCCATTTTCTAGAATCAAGAAAAGATTTGGGTTGAAGGGATCTTAAACTCATCCCATCCCACCCCTGCCATGGCAGGGACACCTACCACCATCCCAGGCTGCTCCAAGCCCCGTCCAGCCTGGCCTTGGGCACTGCCAGGGATCCAGGGGCAGCCCCAGCTGCTCTGGGCACCCTGTGCCAGGGCCTGCCCACCCTCCCAGCCAACAATTCCTTCCCAATATCCCATCCAGCCCTGCCCTCTGGCAGTGGGAGCCATTCCCTGTGTCCTGTCCCTCCAGGCCTTGTCCCCAGTCCCTCTCCAGCTCTCCTGGAGCCCCTTTAGGCCCTGCAAGGGGCTCTGAGCTCTCCCTGGAGCCTTCTCTTCTCCAGGTGAGCACCCCCAGCTCTCCCAGCCTGGCTCCAGAGCAGAGGGGCTCCAGCCCTTGGAGCAGCTCCGTGGCCTCCTCTGGACTGGCTCCAGCAGCTCCACGTCCTCCTGATGTTGGGAGGTTTCAATTTAAGGTAACCACACTTCACACACGTTAAACCCCAGAGTTCCCAAAAGGCACCGAACCCCACGGCAGAGCCACGTCCTGGGACACCTTTTATCCTGCTCTGAACCCCAGAGATCCCCCTTGGGCAGAGGCCTGGCTGGAACTCGCTGTTCCCGAGGTGCCCACCCCACCTGGAGGAGGATGACAAAGACGAAGTAGACGTTGGCCATGCGGTGGAACTGCTCGTAGAGGTTGAGGGGCAGGAAGGTGAGCAGGTTGTACTTGGCTGTCCTGATGGCATTGCCCTGGGGGAGAGAGGGGTCACAGCACTGCCAGGGTCAGCTGTGGGACACCAGGGACCTGCTCTGCAAATGCCAAAATGTTCTGGTGTTCTTAGGATTTGTCACAGCACAGGAGATGCCTTAAAAAATTATCAAAGCCAAAAAGGAAAACAGGGATTTACCAGATCCAAGGGCAGCATAAAATTGAGAACAAAATCATTTTCTTGTGGGTTTGTTCCCCATGTGGGCCATTCAACAAGAGTTGGACTCTTGGATTCCTGTGGTTCCCTTGCAGCTCAGAATATTCTGTTATTCTGACTGTGATCTAAAGCCCAGCTCACTGACCTCAATGTTATTTAGCTGAAAAAAAAATTAAAATCTGGTTTTGCTCGCTCCACATGTTTTGAAAAATCTTTCTCTTGATTAGACCTAAAAAGTTTCCTTCACCCAGCCCTGCTCCTCTGACAGCTCTGGGGGCACCAGGCAGGGAGGGAGCAGCACTTTTCCTCCCTGGGGATTGTGAGTGACTCTCCACCCCTCTGGAGCATCTCTGCCGTGTCCCCCAGCCAGCCACCGGCTCAGGGACGAGGGGCTGGGGAGGGGGAGCCCAGGGCTCACCGAGTATTTCCTCTTGCTCAGGCAGAAGACAGATTTCTTCTTGCACTGCCTGTGGTAGCCGCGGTCGTTGGCCCTGACCTCCCAGGTGAAAGCTGGAAAAGCAAGAGGAGATCCAGCAGTGCCCGTGGGAGCCAGGCCAGGCTCCGGCTGCAGCCTCCAGGGCACAAGGAGCAGCCATGGGCACTGCTGGGCTGGGGCTCAGGGTCAGGGACAGAGAGAGCAGGAGACCAGAACATTCCAGAGCTGCAGGAGTGCTGCCCACACCTCCCCCCGAGCCTCAGGGTCGCTCCTGGGCTGGGGGTTTGGTTCAGGGTGCTCAGGCTGTGTGCAGGATGAGCTCCCTGTGCTGTTCCAGTCACGGGCATTCCTCTCCCGGTTCCATTTCTGCCATCCCAGCGCAGACCCTGCCCAGCAGGGAACATCCCAGCCCTGTTCCCAACACCTGCCCCAGCTGACAGTCCCTCTTCACCCCCTCCCTCTTCACCCCAAATCTTCTTCTTCCCCATTTCACAGCCGTGCCCCACATTCAACTTCCTCACAAACCGCGTGAAAGCAGAGAAAATCCCCAAACCACCCCCACTGCACACTGACCTGGCTGCTGCTGCTTCCCACCTGGGCAGCCTGTGGCTGTGTCCTGCTCAGCCATGCTGCCACCTCTGCCAGCACCTGGGGACAAGGACAACCACAGAGGTTTGGAACACTGAGCAGTGACAGCGGGACCCCACGGGGATGCTCCAGCTTCCCAAGGCTCCAGGGCAGGACACCCTGCAGGAAGAACATTCTGCCAAGCAGCCTTTACCCATCCCAGCTGCCCGTGACAACTCAAAGACATTTTTGCCCTCTGGGGGGGGGAAGTTACTGGAAATCATTTGAAGTCATTGGTGAGGAACTGGGGCTGTCCCTGCCCTGCCATCCCCATCGTGCTGGGAGAGCAGCCACCTCCATCAATGACAATGTTTCCCTCATGCTCCATGGCTCTGTGACCTTCCTGCAGGGATGCTAGGGAAGATTAATTAATGTTTGTGAAGCGCTTTGTGATCCTCACATGAAAGGAGCCAGTGAGGGATAAAGCATTAATTACCTTATTATTAAATAATCCCACCAGAAGTCAGTCCCTGCCGTTATTTCTTATCTCATTCCTTTGATCACTTTTTCTGTTCTTTCACCCAAAGTATCAACTTCTCTCTTGCTCCTCATGGGTATTGGTTTCTCCCAACACACCTCACAGATGCCACTGCCTGGGCATCCATCCTCATTCCAGGTCATCTCATTCCAGGTCAAAGAGACCCAAACACCTCGGGCCCTGCAGCCAAGAGCTTGTCCAGAAAAACTTTGATCCACAAAATCCTTCTGTACCACCCAGGACTTGGTGCTGCCATGGATCCTAAATGACCCCTGAGCTCAGCACACACAGTCCCAGAATGGTTTGGGTTGGAAGGGACCTTACAGCCCATCCAGTGCCACCCCTGCCATGGCAGGGACACCTTCCACCATCCCAGGCTGCTCCAAGCCCCGTCCAGCCTGGCCTTGGGCACTGCCAGGGATCCAGGGGCAGCCACAGCTGCTCTGGGAAATCTGGACCCCAAATGTTTCTTTTTGTTTTCACAGCACTGCTGAGGAGGAAGGAAGGGGTTCAGGGAGCTGCTGGGGGTGGTGGGACACTCCTGCTACATCCCAAAGCTCCTACTCCCATTTGTCCCACAGATAAGGGGGAGCAGGAGGAGCAGGTGGATACCTGGAGGGGTGAGATCTCTTCCACACAAAAAGCCCAGAGAAGCCCCTGGGTGCCCAGGCTGGCTGTCACCACTCAGTTTAGGCAAAATAGAATTTGACACAAATCTCCCACCTTGCTCCCTGCTGTGACCCCACTCGTGTCCCTGTCCCAGGGGTGCTGCCAGCTGGGGACACCTTCCCCTGCAGACCAACGGGGCTGGGTCTGATTGCAGAGGGACAAAGGAGGGGACAAGGGAGGGACACCAAAGCCCTCCATGTCCTGCTCGTGGCAAGCACACTGGCCTCTCTCCTCCTACCAGAGGGATGGGCTCCCCTGGAATAGGGGAATGGGGGATCTCCCCAGAGACCACAAACAGCCCAAGGGATACGGGCCCAGTGGAGGCAGCTGCTCTGGAGGAAAATCCAACAGGACACAAGAGGAACCTCAGGGTATCCAGGATGGAGGAAACTGACTCATCTGTTCACAACCCCTGATCCCATCCCTGGAAGTGTCCCAGACCAGGCTGGACAGGTCTTGGAGCAGCCTGGGACAGTGGAAGGTGTCCCTGGTCCTGGCAGGGGTGGAATGGGATGAGCTTTAAGGTCCAACCCAACCCATTCTAAGGTCCCAACCACGGGCAACCATGACAGGGGCAGGGGTGTCAGCTGGGATGGGCCCTGAGCCTCAGCCAAGCTCCTGATGGAGAGGCCCAGATTCAGGCTTGGAAGTCCAGAGTCAGGACTGCAAAGGGGACAAAGGCCAAGGTGACACAGCCCCAGCACTGAGACAGCTCCAAGGTCCAGGGCTCACAGCAAGGCCCAGGAGTGTGGCCAAGCTGGAGCCAGACCCCCCTTGGGGACTTGGTCTAGAACTGAGCCTGGGCTGAGCTTCCAGAGCCCAGGGCTATGGGGGGGCCCAGGGGGCTGCTCAGGGCCAGTAACCCTGGTTGTGCCCTCGGGGCTCCGATCAGGGGCTCAAAGCCCTCACTCCTCACTCCAGGCTTTATTTGAGGCTGACAGTGAGAAATGCCAAGGTGTTTTCCTGGGCTCTCTGCTCCAGACCAGCGAGGCCAGGGCTGGACCCTGCCGAGTCTCACCAGGACACTCTGGAATTCCTGGGTTTATTTGTGGTTATCCTGGTCCCCTCATGCTCAGGCTCAGGCCTGAAGCTGCTGATCCATCATGTCCCCACCGTGCCTGGCATCTCTGAGCCCCATTGTGCCCGGCCAGGATCACCATTACACCCAGCCAGGCTCTGCTCAGCACCCCCGTTCCCAAACGGTGCCAAACAAAAGCACAGCTTGTTCAGCACCTGCAGCTGGCACGGGCAGGACACTCCGTGGGGCTGAGAGCCCTGCACAGGCAGCCGGGAGTGCTCCCTCTTGCCAGGGCCTGGGGCAGGGGGAAAGGGGGAAAAAAAAAGTGATTCAAAGCACTGGAAAAATATTTTCGAGGAGGTATCAGAGAAACCTCAGTTCCAAGAGAGCTCTTGACAAACCTCACTCATCACCTGAGTAATCAGAGTAAAAACTGCACTCCGGGGAGGCGGGAGCAGGCTGGAGGTTGGTGCCAGGGCTCCGTGCCAGCCCCAGCCACACGGGTGGACACACTGGGCACAAACCCTGCTCCGGCCCCAGCCCGGAGCTCCCGGCGGGGGCAGGGAGGGTTAGCGACGGCCAGAGGCACGGGACATCCTGGGACCACTGCTCCACACCTCAGCCAGCCCAGCAGGGAGTTCTTAACCCACGGGCTGCTCCCCCAAATCGTCCCCCGGGATGAACCGGCCGGTCCCGCAGGGAATGTCCCATCCCGGAGGTCTCCGGCTCTAAAACATCCCCGCGGTGCTGCCGGGCGCTAAGAAGCCCCAAAGCGGAACTTTCTCACCCCAAAAATTCCCTTCTGGGCTACTGGAGGTTTGCAGGGCTGAACAGAAGTCAGGTTTAAGGAGGACCGGGCACGGCGCCACGAGGGTTTGGCCCAGGGTGGTGAAACACGCGGAGATTTATGTCCCTGGCTGATCCGAGCTCTGCCACGGGAATTCTGTGGAGGTTTTGTTCCTGAAACCACCGGCTCAGCGCCGAGCTCTCCCTCCCTCCGTGCCCGAATTGGTGTGAGAATCCCTGGGAGCGCCGGGCAGTGCCCACAGCCGGGGGTTCCTGCTCCCCTCTGTGCCCTTCCCACGCAGGAACCGGCGGGGACAGGAGCAGCCCGAGCCTTGTCCCGTTCCCGGGGCTGCCACACGCTCCCGTGACCCCTCCCGTGGGTGCTGCTGCTCTTTCCCTGATCCCAATGGCCCGGTGGGACTCCAGCCCCCACCGCCAACCCCGCATGGCCCCCGGGCCAGCCCGTGTCACGACAGGGGACAGTGACAGCGGCCGGGCTGAGCGGGTGGGCGCTGTCACCTCCCGTCCCCGGCACGCAGGAAACGCCCCCGCGCTCCGGCCGGGCGGGTCATTAAACCTCTCCAGGGTTATTTCCCCGGCTCCCAGGACGTGCCCGAGCCATGAGTTTCCCTCCTGTTTTCCAGCAGCCTGGATGTGGTTTCAGGTGAAAAGGCGGCCCCGCCATCCCCGAGCGCTGCTCCGTGCCCGGCATCCCCGGCAGCATCGGCCGAGGGGCGGCCCCGGCCCCCCGCTCCTGCCGGGGGCAGATGCAGCTCCCCGGAGCCCCCAAGGACCTGCCAGCCGTGTCCCCCCCCTGTCACCGTGCCACGCTCAGGGGCTGTCACCGTGCTTCCCTCGGGGTCCCCGTACCTGCACCGACAGCCCCGGGCAGCGCCGCGCTCCTGTCGCCTCCGCCGGACTGCTGCCACCCGGCTGTGCCACGCGGGCCCGTGGGGACAGCCCCTGCCACTCCCCCGGGGTGTGCCAGCTGCCGTCCCCTCCTGCCCGCACTCGCTGCCTCCGCTCACACCGAGCCGGCTGCCGCGGGATCCCGTGGGACCGGCCCGGGCTCCGGGACACGGCCAGGGTGGCCCTGTCACCGTCCCAGGGTGGCTCCAGACTGGACCCCACGGCAGGGGGGGCGCGGGGCAGATTTGGGCAGCTCCTGGGGAGCACCGGGGACCCCCAGAGCCCCTCGGGGTGTGGCGGCAGCTCGGGGGGTTTGAGCCGAGCTTTGGGGACCGAGGCAGGCGGGAGAAGGGGACAGCGAGGAAGAGGAGGCCGAAGGCACAAAGGAGTCCCCGCAGCTCCGGGCGGTGCCAGCCCCGGGACTGCGAGCCCAGCTGGGGACAGAGGCCACCTCGTTAGTGACGGCAGCTAATGAGGCCAGAGCCTGGTGTCCACCCCGCACTCATCCTGCACACCCGCAGTGGTCCCGCGATCGCCGTCATTACGTTAATTACTGCCTGCAATTAACCGCAGAGACCCGGAGGCGATCACCCAGCGCCAGCCCCACAGCCCATAAAGCATTTACTGCACAGCCGGGAGCGGTGCCTGCTCTGTCCCTGTGTCCCCATGTCCCCCACACGTGTCCCCGTGTCCCTCACACGTGTCTTTGTGCTCTCCTGAGTGTACCCAGGTCCCCGTACACGTCCCCGTGTCCCTTTATGTGTCCCCACACATCCCCCCGTTCCCCTGTTCCCGCACATGTCCCCATGTCCCATGTCCCCATGTCCCCACACATCCCCATGTCCCCACACGTGTCCCCGTGCCCCCGTACGTATCTCCACCTTCCCCTGTGTGTCCCTATATTCCCGCTGTGAAAAACGAGCTTCACTCTCTTAATAAATTATAAAAAGTTTAATATAAACCAAAAGACAATTAGAAGACAAAGGAAATAAAGCAAAGGGTTAAAACGGCCGGGTGCCCTGGCGCGTTGCCAGGAACACCCCCGATATCTTTGGGACACCCTTTTTATCCCATCCTGCTGTGAGGGTTTAATGCATATTCAAACTTTTCCAAGAAGCATTTTGCATGGTCACTCCTTGGTTCCACCTTTTTAGAACTTTTCTCTACAAGTGGTCAGTGCTGGTAACAGTCTGGCCTCAATCGTCCCTCTGACAACATTTGGGCCCCGTTGTCTTTGCCCTCTGGGGTTATCTTGCTTTTTACACAGGGACATCGCTCTAACGTTTGGAATTCTTCTACACCTAAAACTTGTTAGCAAAAGTACAGCCATAGCCAAAAAGCATTTAACATAAAATATTCATCCTAATACTTGCGAAAGCCAATGTCACAATATGGATTTACAACAGCACTCAGGGTGACACCGGCAGCATCTGACCGGCAGTGGGGACAGATTTGGGCACATCCCATCCTGAGGTCGCACCTCAGCTCCCGAAGAAGAGGGAGAAGCCTCCCCCAGGCTTTGTCCCAGGGGCTGGTGCTGAGCCGAGCTGCTGCTCCTTGCCCCGCAGGGCTGGTGCCGGTGGCTCGGGTTTGAAATGAAGCTCGGGGGCTGCTGAGGGGGGTCCAGCCCCAGGGGAGAGCTCCGGGCACTGCGGGCAGGGCAGGTTTGCATTTGAGGGTCTGGGCAGGGGCCACAGCGGGGCCGGGCTCGGCAGTGACGGAACCGGGACTGGTCGGGGTCGGAAGGGATT